GCTAGTTTGGAAATTTGGAGAAAGATTATTGAAAGTGTATGTTTAGAGCATGGCTCTGTATGAGTGTGGAATGTGAACGGTGGGCGATGAGGAAAAGAAACAGAAGTGTAGGACATATGGTGTTATGGGCAGATGTTCAAAATACTGTTGATAGAGATGGGACGGTATTAAACAGAGAGAAATCAATAGAAAATAGATGAGATAAGTTATGGTAGGATGTGTCAGACGTAAATGGCTAGTTACGGACACATTAGAAGCATAAACAGGAGTTATAAGGGGCAGATGTAGATCTGGATTATTATTCGCAACAGATTAGAGAACTAAGTTGTTCTAGTTCTCGAGATATGGGAAAATTACGTCATGATAAGAAGAAATGGAGGTCTTCGGGTAGAAAAAAAATGGCAATGTTAAAAAACCATTACCCATTTTAAGTACTTGTACTGCAATTTCGTTAAAATTACATACTTTAAAGTTCAATTTATTAGTTAGATGCCTAAATAAATAAGTTCTCCACCAAAAATGAGCCACTATCGTTCAGAAAGGGTTCTGGGAATTTAACCGTAAGAAGTTTACTGCGGTGGTTTCTCGCATGACTGGTTCTTTAAAGCACATTACGTTGTTCAGTTGTTCAGCATGAGAGTAATTATCGGAGTAATTCTCTTCTAAGAAAGTGCAGTTTCACAACATCTCTCGTTTTATTACCCTATAGTTATCTATTTAAAGTAAAAGACTGGTGTCGAACGCTGATTTTTTCTTTCAAAAAAAAAGACATCCATTCGTTTCTGTTTCACAGTCGATTTATTCAGATAGTTAAGACATTAAAATATCATATAAGAAATAAAAGATGGATCAAATTAAGTACTTATACGACTTCGAGATAAAAATGTTCAGTCTCTCAGAGTCTCTGAAAGCGAGACTCGAGTCTCCGTCTCTCATCGAGTCTCTCTGGTGTCGATGAGAGAGACTGTCAAAAAAACTGTTTAGCGTCTCTGAACGAGAGACTCGAGTCGCTTATAGAGAGATCCTCATTTCGTATCCAGTCTCTGAACGAGAGACTCGAATCTCTGAACGAGAGACTCGAGTCGCTCATAGAGAGATCCTCATTTCGTATCCAGTCTCTGAA